TGGGTTTACACCATCAAACTGCTGACATAAAACTGCTGACACACACCCACCTGACAAAGGTGCTCACAGCTCTGTGCTTGCCTTACCTGAGGAACCTGATTGTGCAGGGGTGCCAGGAGCCCTTCCCTTTGCTCATCCTGACCCTCAAGGCGAGCGAGTGCCAGTGGCAGGAAGGGCTGCTGGCTCAGCAGGGACAGCTTTAGGAGAAGCAAACACAGCACTGCATTAGTAAAGTTATTTTGGTACTTCCCATCCTCAGTCCCTTCCCTGTTTTGTCTACCCGTTTTCCCCTAAAGTGGCACTGCTGCATCTGTGTCTGTTTCTGTTTTAGTCAATTTAAGTCTTGGCAGAGGCATTCAGGACAGGCAGGAAGGCAGAGCCCCAGCCAGCCCAGCTGCACTGAGATCCCCCAGCTCAGGGGCCCTCAGGGAGCTGCTCCACACCTGAATGTGACCCACTCTTCTCAGATGCCCTTTCTCCAAGTGCTATCTCTCCCTTTGATTTATTAACATTCTGCAGTTCAAGACAGAATTGACCAGTGGCCCCTCAATCTCACTGCCAGCCCACTCCTTCAGCCAGGAAGGATGAGAGGAAGGACCTGGCAGGGAGATAAAACAATGAGGAGAGTAGCACCAAGGCCACATGAACCCAAAGCCACCCCAGAATGCTCTGATAAAACTGGAGCTGCTTTGTCAGCACTGACCTGCAGCAGCTACCATTTATCTGATGCTTTTCTTCAGCAAAGCCAGTAAAAATTTTGAATTACGAATGCAGGGTGCCAACAAGCTGAACTAGTGCCAAACCAAAGGCAGTTACTTGTTTGGAAAATAGAGCTCACCACTCGTGGAGAGCTGCTCAGAGTGATGCTTTTGCAACTCCCACAATGGCAGACACCCAGGATTTGTGGCAAAACACAGAAAACCCATCTGAGACCCTAATTCCTATCTATATTTGAGAGGGACTTGCCTGAGTTTAAATGCACTGGGACTCGGGGATGGAGGTCAGGGTGAGCATCTGGAACAGTCACACGTGCCTGTAGCCTCCCCTGGGGCTGAGCCACAGGGAAATGTGGCTTTGACCTGGGCCCTGCTCCCTGCAGGACACAACAGCAGCCACATTCCTGCCTTGTTCCCAGGGCTTCCTTTCCCAGCAGCATTCCCCCAGCAGTGAGCCAGCACCAGCTGTTTCCCACACAAACGCTGCCATGAACACCCCACACAGGACTCTGCACACCCTTACCCAGCACCACAATTGCCTTCAGGACTGCACACACAGCCCCCACTTCGATGCTGTTGTGAGCAGCAGCCAAGAGGTGACAATCACAAGAAGAACAAATTCCAGAAAATAATTTCTCTGTGGCAAGAAGAGGAAATATTGTAAAAAATGGGTATTTTTTATCAACTAACATTTCCTTTGTGCGAAATCCTCCTCAGCCAGAACAGCTACAGAAGCTCATGAGCTGAAGAAAGAATTTAATCTTCTGGCATTGAAACTGCAGCCTAACAGGTAAGTGATTAATTCAGCTGGGGTATGTGGTTATGATGGATTAATATCAAAATAAGCTGTGGGCACTGAAATGGGAAAATGGAGCCTGTTGGTTCACTGTGTCCATGTGAACAGGGAACTTAACCACGATGAGACACTGAAGCCTGTGTTGGTTTTGACACCACAGATTTAGGAAATTACTTCCCTTACCTCACCTGCATGACAAAATTAAGTGCTGTCAATGCTTGAAATCACACTTACTCTCCATTTCCATGTCAGGCTCCCAGACAGCACAGGGTGTATCCCTGTCAGTGCTTCTGTCCTTCTCAACACTGCCAGGTGCAGAGAATGAATAAGTTTCAGTAAATTCCTCTAGTTTTACCGACATCCAAACCATTTCCCAAACAATTAAGGTTATTGGTATCATCAGTAGTGAAACATCAGTGATTTTGAACTTGCACTGTGGATATTTTCACCCATGAAAATACGCAGCCATCAAAAAGCAGCCGTGGGTTCACAGAGGTGTGCGAGGCACCCAGCTCGGGGGCAGAGGCGTGTGGGGCACCTCTGCCCAGCTCTGTGCCACTGCAGGACCCTGCCCCTGCCCAGCCAGCACTGCCATCAGGAGGGAGGCCAGCCACACAATCTACTGGCATTAAAGAACTTCAGAGATCCCACACAGTGTAATGCGGGATTTGGGGCATGATTCAGGGTTATGTAACAGCTGAAGAAACAGCAGAGTTGACTCACCCCAGTGCCAGTTATGTTCTCTCTATTCTAGAGTGAAACTCATTTGGCTGCATTTAGATGTTCCCCTTTGTGCTCTTACAAAACTGCTTCCTCTCAGCTGCTCTGCCCTGCCAAGGATGTCCCACACTCCAGAGAATCACAGACTGGTTTGTCTTGGAGGGAACTTAAAAACTCATCCCATTCCACCCCTGCCATGGCAGGGACACCTCCCACTGCCCCAGGGGCTCCCAGCCCCAGTGCCCAGCCTGGCCCTGGGCACTGCCAGGGATCCAGGGGCAGCCCCAGCTGCTCTGGGCACCTGTGCCAGGGCCTGCCCACCCTCACAGGGAACAATTTCTTCCTCACATCCAACGTAAACCTAGTCTCTGCCAGTTTAAAGCAATTCCCCCAGTAAAAACTCTTATTACTTTTAAAAACCAGATTTTTCAAAAGCTGTGTAGACAAAATCCATAATCTATGAATTACACATTTAATAAACAAAACACCCATCATAACAGGAGACAAGGACCTAATGCAGAACCTTCCCTCATTTCCAGACTTAAACAGGAAAGGACTGTCCTGAGCTGCTCAGTCTGAAACAGCAAAACTGCTGATGCCAAACAACAACAAGAACTGCTGGTAGTAAACAACAACAACAACTGCTGGTACCAAACAACAACAACTGCTGATGCCAAACAACAACAACTGCTGATACCAGAAAACAACTGCTGGTGCCAAGCAACAACAACTGCTGGTACCAAACAACAACAACTGCTGGTAGCAAACAGCAACAACTGCTGATGCCAAACAACAACAACTGCTGGTACCAAACAACAACAACTGCTGGTACCAAACAGCAACAACTGCTGATGCCAAACAACAACAACTGCTGATACCAGACAACAACTGCTGGTGCCAAGCAACAACAACTGCTGGTACCAAACAACAACAACTGCTGGTACCAAACAACAACAACTGCTGATGCCAAACAACAACAACTGCTGGTACCAAACAACAACAACTGCTGGTACCAAACAGCAACAACTGCTGGTACCAAACAACAACAACTGCTGATGCCAAACAACAACAACTGCTGATACCAGACAACAACTGCTGGTGCCAAGCAACAACAACTGCTGGTACCAAACAACAACAACTGCTGGTAGCAAACAGCAACAACTGCTGGTGCCAAACAACAACAACAACTGCTGGTACCAAACAACAACAACAACTGCTGGTACCAAACAACAACAACTGCTGGTACCAAACAGCAACAACAACTGCTGGTACCAAACAGCAACAACAACTGCTGGTACCAAACAACAACAACTGCTGGTACCAAACAACTGCTGGTACCAAACAACAACAACAACTGCTGGTACCAAACAGCAACAACAACTGCTGGTACCAAACAACAACAACTGCTGGTACCAAACAACAACAACTGCTGATGCCAAACAACAACTGCTGGTACCAAACAGCAACAACTGCTGGTACCAAACAGCAACAACTGCTGATACCAAACAACTGCTGGTACCAAACAACAACAACAACTGCTGGTACCAAACAACAACTGCTGGTACCAAACAACAACAACTGCTGCTGGTACCAAACAACAACTGCTGGTGCCAAACAACAACAACTGCTGGTGCCAAACAACAACAACTGCTGGTACCAAACAACAACAACTGCTGGTACCAAACAACAACTGCTGGTACCAAATAACAACTGCTGGTACCAAATAACAACAACTGCTGGTACGAAGCTGCTCCTGACTGTCTGACAGCGAGGCCTGCTGCTCCTTCCTCCCTTCTGAGGAATGACTCAGACTGATTTAACACAGTAACTCAGAGTACTTTATACATTTTCACAAGAGGGATGAAAGTGCACAGGGTTGCAGAGGCAGGCACGGGACAAACAGGAGGAAGGAATTCTGCAGAGCTCAGCTGCCGCAGAGCTGCCCTGGCACTCGGGACCCTGGGCAGCCTCCAGGAGCTCGTGCTGGGAGCTGAGGGCTCTCCAGGAAATCCAGCACGAGCTCTGGTCCCACAGCAGCTGGGGTTTGGGTGTTGCTGCACCTGGGAACACACAGTCCTGGGAGCCAAACCAGAGCTGCCTGCAAATGCACACTGCAGGAAAGCGGCTGCCATGACAAAATCCTGCTGGGCTAACACTTCATACATGTTTTCAAAATCCTGCTGGGTTAGCACTTCAGACACATTTTCAAACTCATTCTGGATAAGCAACATCTACCAGATAACAAGGCTGCTACACCTAGTTTGTTCAAGTTTTCCTGCAAACAAAGTCTTGAATTTCCAAATGAGTTCCTGGATATTTCTAGGACTGAAATTGTGAGCAGCTGGGTAAGGCCCAACATCCTCCTCCCCAGCATCTTCCTGGGACATCAGGTGTCCCTACAGGGCACAGAACCTCACTTCCCAACACTGCCTCCCCTCCAGGTGTCCTGACCCAGTGAGCTGCAGTGGGGCAGAGGGAATTCATTAAGGAGAAATGAGAAAATTTATCCAAATTAAAAGCTACATTTGGTAATAAGGTGACTTAACAGACAGGGTCTGGAAATCAGTATCTAGAGAAAAGATACTTAAAGCTCATATTTTGATATTAATGATTAGACAAAAGGGCAAGAACTGTCCCAGGCCAGGAACACCAATATGTGAAGTGGTTTTCTTGAGGGAGAAAAATAGGTATTAGTGAGGAATGCAAATTTCACACCCAAAATATTCCAAGGAGCGTTTGTCTCCAGCATAAGGTTTTATATCACAGGGACAAATTTCAAATTTCACTAATTAGCCCAACTGGGAAGACTTCTCATTACTGAAAAGAATCTATAAATTGAAGTTAACTTAAACTATCTCCTGCAGCCCTGGGACCCCCTGCCACTGCCAGCCCCTGCCTGCTGCTCCACATCCTGATACCAAAGGGCAGCAGGACGAGGTCATTAGTGGGTAATTAATTACAAGGGCAGTGCCTGATGTCAGCCCTCTGCTCTGACAGCCAGTGCCACAGCAAAGACAGAAATCCAGCGAGTGTTCCACTCTGGGACAGCACTTGCACCAGAAGCAACACTGAAGGAGTGGCCAGGAGACAGAATCTTTAAAAAAAGCGAAAGAATTATTTTAAAAGAGGAAGTTTTCAGAAGATAAGTAACTGTTCCAGGCACACGAAACCAAACACATCCCTCCCTCACTGACACACACTCAGAGACTCTGCAGAGGAGACCAGAGCACAGCAACCCACAGAGGGTGAGTCTCTAAACGTGAGCATCTGTGAATTGTAATTTATTATCACTTCAAACAGACTGAGAGAAACAGCTGGGCTTACAGCAGGCCAGAAAGGAGCTGAAAATGTTCCTGTGAACATACAGTGGGGTTGGGTGCTTGGAAAGGAGGCCAACAAGAATGTCATGTTCTTACCTTAAATATAGCTGTTTCAAATTGTATACATAAATTTTATTAACAGTTTTCAGGAATTTCTAACTCCACTTGACAAAAAAAAAAGTGCTTCCAAACAAGTTTTGTGTATCATATCTTTAATAAATTATTTATTACCCTGTATTATTACTAGACCTTGTTTTGACTTGTTATTGTAGATTAACCTTAACAAAACTTGTTATTTTTGTTGTGTTACTTTAGCTTGTAAGCAGAAGAAATTAACATAGACACTTGTGTAGTTCTATATTTCCTATTTCCTTTTCCTGGTGTTTCTAAATGAATGCTACTGCTGCCAGGTGTCTGTAAACCTACTAAAATATTATTACTGAGAAATACTCTCCTGCTCCCTATGAAATGGAGCCACAAACCTGAACTATGCAGACCCAAACTAGGGACACAAACCAGGAGGGGAAACAGCAACTGGGGCAGTTTGTGAGTATTACAAGATGTGGATTTGTATCTGAAGGGTTTCCATTCCTCCTTTAAAAGGTAAAAGCCAAAAATATGCCATACGGGAATCTAATTCTTTTTTAACTTAAAAATCAAGGAACTGAACATTCAAGCATAAAACTTCACAAACTCAAGCCCGTCTGTGCCTCTCCCCGCACCGAAGGCAGCCTTTACAGAGCACCGCAGCAGAGATTGGGCAGGTTCGCCGTCCAGCCCTGCCTGTTCTGCAGCCGAGGCGCTCCAGAGCCCAGCCGGGCGCCCCAGCCCGCGGGGGCAGCGGGGTCCGGGGGGCGAGGGGGCTCCGGTGCCGCGGGGCTGCCCCGGGACGGTCCCGAGCTGGGCAGGGCAGCCCCGGGGCTGACACGGCGGGAGCGGGAGCGGGCTCAGCCCCGGGACCCCGAGCACAGCCCGGGCACCGCACGGCCCCAAGGGACCGCACATCCCGCAGGGACCGCACAGCCCGCAGGGACCGCACAGCCCCGGCTCCGCACATCCCGCAGGGACCGCACAGCCCCGGGACACCGAGCACAGCCCCCAGGGACCGCACAGCCCCCGGAGACCGCACAGCCCCGGCTGCCCGAGCACAGCCCCGGCACCGCGCAGCCCCGGGACCCCCAGCACAGCCCCGGCACCGAACAGCCTCCGGGGACCGAACATCCCCCGGGCACGGAACATCCCGTAGGGACCGCACATCCTCCAGGGACTGCTCAGCCCCGGCTCCTCGAGCACAGCCCCGGGACTGCACATCCTCCAGGGACCGAACATCTCCCGGGACCAAACATTCCCCGGGGACAGAACATGCCCCGGGCACCGCACATACCCCGGGTACCGCACAGCCCTGGCTCCCCGAGCACAGCCCCGGTACCGCACAGCCTCCAGGGACCGCACAGCCCCCGGGCACCAAACAGCCCCGGGACTGCACATCCCCCTATTCAAACTGTGCCCTGGATCAATACTCTGCAGCAGATCAGTAAACAGAAGACAGATGTTTAGAAACTGTGACACTTACTACATACAAATCCATTGAAAAAAAGATGCAGCTCCTAAAGTGGTGTCTTGTACACCCCAAAGAAATTGAAATATGTGTAGTTTATTTCATTGTAACTGTTTATAGTTAGTCTTTCAATTACATGTATGTATCATATAATGTTGACTTACTGTATGCAGCTTAAAACTTGAAGCACTGTTCTACAAGTCACATAAGGAAGAAATATTTCCTTCAATAATAACCTTCTCCAAAGTAACAAATCACTACTTCTTTCAAGTTCTTTAAGAGTTTTAAGAAACAAGGCTGTGTACAGAAATAACACTAAGGACTCTCAAGGCCAATAGGAGCAGATAGGAATGCAGCTCTGTGCGCAGAAAAGTTGCACAATCTGACAAGTCCCTGTTCCCTTTACAAATAATGCCTCTGGGAGTCAGTCAAAGGCAGGAAGGAATCTGCTAATTATTTCTTAACATTTCATTTCTCTCTCTTTTCTACAGAAAACAGAAGCAGAAGCTCCTAGTGCATCATCTGGAATCTGCAGCTGTCACTGGCTAAGAAAGCAGTTTGGAGCCAGGACAAGGTCTGGGTCTCAGGCCAGGGATGCTCAGCTGCTCCTCCTGCCTCTGCCTGCTCCGAGGGGCTCCCCGGGAGCCCTCCTGCCCTGCCCTGCCCCGTGGCTGCCAAGGGCCCCTGGCTGAGAGCAGCCTGTGCCCAGAGCGCCCAGCTCCTCCTGGCGCCTGCCCTGGGGCACCACGTGCCCACCTCTGCCAGGGCTTGCTCCCACAGCGTGGGGCTTGGCTCATCAACCTGCTTCATCTTCAAAGCAAAAGCCTTTTTTTCCTACTTTCTAGGAAGAAATAAAACTTTGTCAGGGATTTGGGCATCAGCTGAGAGCACATCAATTCCCCGAGTGCCTGTTTCCCATGGGCAGAGCCCAGACAGACAGAACCAGCTGCATCACCACACACCTGAGAGCTGCCCTGGCCCAGCCGGGTGCACTTGTTCACAACACAACAATTCAAAGCTGGCTGAAAAGGCTGAAGCCTCATAACAGATAAAACTCTCCTTTTCTTCTTTTTTTTTTCTGTTTGTTTCTCCAGGGAGAAGAGATACCACAATGCAAATGAAAGCCACAACCCAGTTCAGCTCCTCCAGGAATGACAGCAACTGCACCAGCGACAGCAGGATCAGCCAAGTCATCTTCCCTTTACTCTACACATTTCTGTTCCTGGTGGGGATCCCCATGAATGGCCTGGCAATGTGGGTCTTCTTTAAAGTACCCAGTAAATCCAATTTCATTATCTTCCTCAAGAACACTGTGATTTCTGACTTCCTCATGATCCTGACTTTTCCATTTAAAATCCTCAGCGATGCCAAGCTGGTGTCCTGGGTCCTGCGAGGGTTTGTGTGCCAGGTCACGCAGGTGGTGTTTTACTTCACCATGTACATCAGCATCCTGTTCCTTGGTCTGATAACGATTGATCGCTACCAGAAAGCCACCTCACCTTTCAGAACCACCACTCCACGGAGCCTCCTGGCTGCCAAGGTCCTGTCCACAGCAATCTGGCTGTCCATGTTCGCTCTCTCGCTACCCAACATGATTCTAAATAATAAGAAGAAAACACCCAAGAACGTAAGGAAGTGTGCTCTCCTGAAATCGGACTTTGGCTTAGTCTGGCATGAAATTGTAAATTACATTTGTCAGCTCATCTTCTGGGTTAACTTAGCAGTCATAGTGGTGTGTTACATCCTGATCAGCAAGGAACTGTACAAATCCTACAAAAGGACTCGATGCACAGGGAAGGCATCTAAAAAGACTGTCAATCTCAAGGTTTTCATAATAATTGCTGTGTTCTTTATTTGCTTTGTGCCATTCCACTTTACCAGAATCCCCTACACCTTGAGCCAAACGAGAGATGTGTTTGACTGCTCCGCTCGGAACGCTCTGTTCTACCTGAAGGAGACCACGCTGTGGCTGACGTCCCTCAATGCCTGCCTGGATCCCTTCATTTACTTTTTCCTGTGCAAGTCCTTCAGGAAATCCTTGCTGGACATGCTGTGCAAGCACAGGGCAGGGTCAGGGGCACAGACAAAGGGGGATGACTCTGACGAGACCCCGCTCTAGATCCCAGGGCTCCTCTCACCTTCCTGGCCACACACCTTCACTGAGGGTGGCAGGAGCACAGAGCCACGAGGAGCATCCAGAACTTCACTGACTTCTTCAGAAACAGCCCTGCAGATGAAGCACGAGCACCCTGGAACCACCACCACTGCCTGCGAAAAGAAAAAGCTTAAATAAATACCAGAGGAGTCCCCCCAACCTCCACCCTTCCAAAACCAGAGCTCCCCAGCCTCCACTGATGGCTGTCAGAACTGATGGGAAGAAGTCAGAACTGAAAGGTGGAACTGTGAGGAAAAACTTAAAACAGAATCATGAAATGCTACAGATGATACCATGAACTGTAAAGATGTTGCAGAAATAGCTAAATTTGGGCCAGAGTAAAGTTCATGACAACACAAGACCTGAGAAATGCAGATAAAATGCACAGTAGATGTCATTTGTTGTCACCTTGTATGCAACTGGCAGACAAACAGAAACATAGAGAGAGCCATTTGGGCAGATTTTTGGTAACAGAATAACACTTTTCTAATCTCATTCTATGCTTGCAGTTCCTAATCCATTGACCAATAATTAATAGCTGTATTTCAGACGAAATTATTTCTTAATCAGGCTTATCTTGATATTAATTAAATCCCCAAATCCTTCCCCTTACTACTTAAATAAACAAAAGTGTATGTTTTCACAGAGAACATTATATTAGAAAACATACAAACACTCGATTTAAATCTTACTGAGACCCTGGGGAAAAACAGGCTCATGCTAACTTCTTTACTGATGATTAAGGGCAGCTTTTTCCACTATACAAAATACTCAACCACTTCCCTTTTGCACTTGGAAAATTGAAAAAAACCAGGGAAGTATTTTCAAGTACATGACATTTTGAGGTATCACAGCGATTACACATGAAATAGATTGTGGGCTATTGGAATAAGTTGTGGTTCATTTATCACCACTGCCAACAGCTCCAGCTGAGCAGTGTGTGCCCCCAGCACACAAGAGCTCAGCCTGCCAAAGCCATCACCTGTCCATCCTTCCTGGGACGTGTCCCTGCCTGCCAGGGCACTTCTGCAACCCAATTTCACTTGTTGCTCACAGACCCTCGGCCTTGGGGTCTGTGCATCTCTGACAGCCCACTGGGATGAACCCACCCTGCCTCAAACTGTGCCCTGCTCCAGCTGAGACAGGCAGTGACTGGGCTCCACCACAGAGCACCAGGATTTCCCTGGAACAGCATGCAGCCACCCCAGAGCGTGCTCCCCCAGCAGCCCACAGGCCCTAGGCCAGCTCAGTCCCCATTAATGCCCAGGGAGGGCAGTGCCACATGCCCCAGTCCCACCCAGAACTCATTCTGCTCACATTTGGCACCTACACGTGGAGTGGCAATTAGGCAGGAGCTGCTTTCCCTGGCCAGGTGAGCTGTCCAGACAGGCACCACAGACACACCTGTCCCCCAGAGCCACCACGGGTGGGATGTGCACAGGTACCTGCTGCCTCTGACACCTGGGAACAGCAGCAAGAGCTCAAAACACAGAAGGCACTGCCTTGGACAGTACTCCTGGGGCATTGCATGGACTGTGACACCCTTGTGTGGTCACCAGTGGGGACCAGAAGGCAGGGACAGCCAGGGACATACCTCACTGGTGACAGTGCTGAGCGTGACTGAAGCCCAGCCATCCTCAGGGCTGCCTGCTCCCAGCAGCCATTTAACACTGACACCAGCACCTACATTAGCCAAAATGTCCCAGCTACTGATGCACAAACTCCCTGGCACAGCTGCCCGAGCACCTCTGGAGCAATCCACAGCTGCCCCAGGAAATGGCCTGAGCAGGAGCACTGCCCACAGGGCAGCGAGCCCTGTCCCACCACAGGCAGCAATAAACTCACACAAGCAGCTCTGCTCTCAGAGAAATGCACCCAGTTCCAGCCTACACCCAGCAAACCCATCAGCAACCCACAGCTCTCCACGCAGCAGGACCTGCCAGGGCAGAAAGGGGCTGCAAGCAGCACAAGGTGCATCCCCTGCCTACCCCAGGAATCCTCTCTGGAGAGGCAGAGCCCAGCCCAGGCCCTGTGCCAGGGACACCAGGGGCAGGGGAGCCAGCCCCTCCCTGTCAGGGGGCTCTGAGCAGACTCTTGCAATGCTTTGGCAATGACTGGTGCCATCCAGAACATGGAATTCACACACAAACAACAACCAGGAGCTACTTTTGAGGGTTATCCTGGAATGCTGTCAGGAAACACTCTGTGTTTGTTCATCCTACCAGTCCAGGTGCAGCAGGTCCCATGCACAAGCCCAGAAATGTGTCTGTCCTGAGGGGCAGGCTCAGGTTTCCTTTCCCAGTTCAGGAGCAGATGCTGTGCTTTCTCACACAGAGCAAAGGGAAGAGACAGAAGCAATAGCAATGTGACCAACTCAGGCGACACTGAAAATGAGGAAGGAAGCCACACACCAGCAGAAAAACGTCTCATCTTTCTACACATTTCCCCACTTCTAACACTTTGCTCGAGGCTTCTGCTGGCAGAGGAGCAGCGGATGAGATGGGGACAGCCACAGAGGGCTCTGTGACAGCCGCTGCAGGTTTGCCCAGGTACTCACAGGGTCGGAGTGTCGGGGTGTGATGGGGTGGTTGGGCAGCTGGTGCTCAGGGCTGGGAGCCACCTGTGTGCAGCTGACCTTGGAAATGCTATCTAAAGCCGTGCTGAGAAGGGAAAGAGTGGGTGCTTGGAAAGAATCACCAGAAGTCACTTACCCAGGAGTGGCTGGCTTTTGGGCCACAGCTCTAACATTTCTATTTCTATATTATATTCAACACCAAAATATTTCTATTTTAGTGTTGAATTTCTATTTAGTGTTGAATGTTAGAGATATAGAATATTTCTAACATTTCTATTCAACACTAAAATATTTCTATTTCCATGGAAAGGCCAACAGTGCTCCAGGCAGTCTGCTCTTATATCCTGCTATGACATTACCCTAGGCCTCCAAAGTAATTGTGAACCCTTTTAACTCTTCAGTGGTTGCTAGCTTGCAAACAATTTAAATTTCAGCAAAGATTTGGATTTTCCATGAATCAGAAGAGAAATTGGTTGGGCTGTTTAACACACACTTGGGTTTGATGTTTATTCATGCAAACCTGCTGTCACTGCAAGGAACATGTAATATTACATACAGAAGGGTGTGTTTTGTGTTCTCTCCCTCCTTTTCCCCCAAGTCTGTTTCCAACGATGGGAGGCTCAGCAAACACGAGCTCTGTGGGTAACACCAGTGGAGCAGCCTCCTCTGCACAGTGCCAGCGTGACACCACCGTCACCCACCTGCTCTTCCCGGTGCTCTACACCCTCATCTTCCTCCTGGGACTCCTGCTGAACAGCCTGGCCTGCTGGGCTTTCTTCCACATTCCAAGCACATCAACCTTCATCGTCTACTTGAAAAATATCTTAGTTTCTGATTTCATCATGACGCTGATGCTTCCTCTGAAGATCCTGACAGACTCTGGCCTGGCGCCGTGGCAGCTCAAGGCCTTTGTCTGCCGCTTCTCAGCTGTGATATTCTATGACACCATGTACATCAGTATCGTGCTGCTGGGGCTCATTGCTTTCGACAGATTTCTCAAGATTGTGAGACCTTTTGGGAAGTTCTGGGTGCAGAATCTGACCTCAGCAAAGATCCTGGCGACTCTGGTCTGGCTCTTCTTCCTCATTCTCTCCCTGCCCAACATGGTCCTGTCCAACAAGGCAGCGACGCCCCAGTCCGTGAGGAAGTGCGCCTCCTTGAAGAGCTACCTCGGACTCAAATGGCACGAGGCTGTCAACTACGTCTGTCAGTTCATCTTCTGGACTGTCCTCATCCTCATGCTGCTATTTTATATAGTCATTGCCAAAAAGGTGTATGAGTCTTACGTAAAAACACAGAAGAAAGGCAACAGAAGCGAAAAACGGATCAAGGGGAAAGTATTCATCATTTTTACCGTGTTCTTCCTGTGCTTTGCCCCCTTCCACTTCAGCAGGGTGCCCTACACCATGAGCCAAACGAGTGCCCACATGGACTGCCGGCTGCAGAACCAGCTCTTCGTGGCCAAGGAGAGCACCCTGTGGCTGGCAGCCTCCAACGTCTGCATGGACCCCCTGATCTACCTGCTCCTGTGCAAGCCCTTCCTGGAGAAGGTCTTCTACAGGAGGGTAAGGGCTCTGCAGAGAACAGCCCAGGCAAACCCAAAAACAGAGCTGGACACACGAGTATCTCCTACTGAGTCTTGATTCTGCAGCTGCACACTCTGCTCTGCCTCTTCATAGAGAACTTGAAAAATAGTTTGGTTTACTTCTGCTGAAGAACACAAAAGGGTGTTTGCCAAGTAACATTAACACTCAATAAATGCAGCAAAATGGATTTTCTAAGTACAGTCACTGCATAGCCTTAATGGCCAAAAGGCTCTTGCTCAAACTGCCTAAGACAATCCACAGGGTAATTCTCTCTGCTTTAAACTAAACCAACTCACTTGCTACCACCCGAGCAGCTTACTGACTCTGGCTGCTCTGAAGGGCAATCCAGCTTTATTTGGGAGCAAACCCCAGAGCTGGTGACTGTGTATGTCAGTAATTCCTACCCTGAGTGTCAGCTTGGCTGCACATCATCAGTAGGCAAGGGGAGGAGCAGAGGGAAGGACTCGGTCCCTTCCCAGCCCTCCTCGCCTCTCACACATGTAATCACTTTCCTACCACCCACGCTGCTTCACCACCTTCCTCTCTGCAACCAGCAGCATCACCTGGTGGAGGGCAGTGCTGGCAGCTCAGTACCCCAGCTCAGTACCCCAATTTCCCAGGGCAGTGCTGGCAGTACCCCAGCTCAGTACCCCCATTCAGCACCCCAATTTCCCAGGACATGCTCCTTGTCCAGGCAAGCAGAGCAGCCAGGACTGCATCCCCCACCCTGAGCCATGTGGGGCTCAGCCCCACGCTACCCTCACCAGGAAGGAACACCCAGAGATGTCCCCGTTGGTGGCACCTTCACCCTTCCCAGTGCCAGCCAGAGGAGCCTGAGCCTCCCCATCCAGAGAATGCCCCTCCACCCAGCTCACCAAACCACTCACAGGGCTCTCCCCGCCGATCCCACAGGGACTGTGCCTGCACAGAAACACTTTTTAACCCCAGATTCTGGAATTTATGTCACTATTTCAAGACTGCAGTGTCCCCAAACCATCCCTTCTCCTCCAGCTCTCCTGCCAGCTTTACACTCTCTCACACGTGCCAGACACTTTGATCACCACCAGACTGCTATTTTTAGAAATTCATTGTTTACAGCAGCCTAATCCAACGCAGCAGGTTGCTCCATACAGCTTGATTTTCTCAAAGCTGCTCTAGGTTGCTGTGCATTAATTATCTCTGCCTCTGGGGTTCCCCAGCCTCTGCCACACAGGGAGATGTGTGTCTTATTTAGCAACTTCTACCCACTTCCTCTCCTCCACCAGGCATGTTACACACCTTCTGCAGCTGGAACACCCTTCCTAACTGGAAACTGAACTCATCTCCAATCAGCTTTCAATTGATTCTGAATCTGCCTATAAATAAGTGTTATCTCAGCCATTGTCTACCTCTTACATTAAATGCTGTTGCATTAAAGGCTCTCCCCACACACATACACTGTTAACAGGACTAACTTTGCTCCTTTAGGAAAAGTAAATATAATAAATTCTTAGCTGCTGAAGTAGTCAGCCCTTCAGTACCTGCTTAGAGGAGCATACAGGAGGCTGGAAATGTTCTTCCCAAGCTGCTGACACATCCTGACAATTAACCAAGGGGCCTGAGCCAAACACTGGCAGAGGAGGGTCTGTGGCCTTCCACAAAGCACAGCTCACACAGAGCCCCAGGGACTCCAGCACTCACTGCATCCAGCTCTGGACTGGCAGAGCACGGTGGCACTGAGAAACTAAGAAGATGAAGAACAGAAATTTCTTTTACTTTGCGATTTCTGCTTGTGACTGAGGCTCATCCAACGCTGTGCACACACACTGGCAGCTCACACAGCTGAGAGCCCGTGTTAGGGTGGGTGTAACCACAAAATGGGATGAGTTGGTCCTTAAATAAAGGGTGTGACAAAGGTTTCTGAGGAGTCTTAATCATCTGTTTTTCAGCTGTTGCTTCTTAGGTAGGTAAAAGGGAGCCAAAGCTACCAAACTCTGTGGCAAAGAAGTGAAGGTGACTGCAAGGACAGAACACCTGCTTGATGCACTTAGGGAAAAAGTCCCTGAATGCTAGCACTTGGGATTTTGCACACCTTTTCTACAAAGTTTTAGATCGCTGCCTCCAGATGGAGTAAAAATCACAGCTGTTAAAATGGCTCAAAGTTTAGGTCTCTGTTTTTTAAGGCTCAAACAAACACCCCAAGCAGTATTTTCCTTTGCACGTGATCAAACAGAGCCGTGTTTGGAGAGCAGCTCTCCCCTGGCAGGAAGCCCAGAGCAGCTGCCATGGACTCCCCACATTCCTGCGGGGCTGCCCAGGGATTTGTGGAATTCTGCAAAGTTTACCAGCATACTCAATACAGCAGTCACCATTTTCCCAAACCTGGTTTCTGTCCCAGCCCACCTGGAATGTGCTGGTGCTGCCCTGAGCAAACCCCTCACTGTTCCCTGACAGAGCAGCTGGACAGGACAGCAAACACCAGCACCATTCCATCCCACCTGTGCTGGACAGGACAGCAAACACCAGCACCATTCCATCCCACCTGTGCTGGACAGGACAGCAAACACCAGCACCATTCCATCCCATCTGTGCTGGACAGGACAGCAAACACCAGCACCATTCCATCCCACCTGTGCTGGACAGGACAGCAAACACCAGCACCATTCCCCCTGTGCTGGCCAGGACAGCAAACACCAGCACCATTCCATCCCATCTGTGCTGGCCAGGACAGCAAACACCAGCACCATTCCATCCCACCTGTGCTGGACAGGACAGCAAACACCAGCACCATTCCATCCCACCTGTGCTGGACAGGACAGCAAACACCAGCACCATTCCATCCCATCTGTGCTGGACAGGACAGCAAACACCAGCACCATTCCATCCCACCTGTGCTGGACAGGACAGCAAACACCAGCACCATTCCCCCTGTGCTGGCCAGGACAGCAAACACCAGCACCATTCCATCCCATCTGTGCTGGCCAGGACAGCAAACACCAGCACCATTCCCCCTGTGCTGAACAGGACAGCAAACACCAGCACCATTCCCATTCCCCCTGTGCTGGACAGGACAGCAAACACCAGCACCATTCCATTCCCCCTGTGCTGGCCAGGACAGCAAACACCAGCACCATTCCCCCTGTGCTGGCCAGGACAGCAAACACCAGCACCATTCCCCCTGTGCTGGACAGGACAGCAAACACCAGCACCATCCCATCTGTGCTGGACAGGACAGCAAACACCAGCACCATTCCCATTCCCCCTGTGCTGGCCAGGACAGCAAACACCAGCACCATTCCCATTCCCACCTGTGCTGGCCAGGACAGCAAACACCAGCACCATTCCCCCTGTGCTGGCCAGGACAGCAAACACCAGCACCATTCCATTCCCCCTGTGCTGGCCAGGACAGCAAACACCAGCACCATTCCCCCTGTGCTGGCCAGGACAGCAAACACCAGCACCATTCCCCCTGTGCTGGACAGGACAGCAAACACCAGCACCATTCCCCCTGTGCTGGACAGGACAGCAAACACCAGCACCATTCCCCCTGTGCTGGACAGGACAGCAAACACCAGCACCATTCCCCCTGTGCTGGCCAGGACAGCAAACACCAGCACCATTCCCATTCCCCCTGTGCTGGACAGGACAGCAAACACCAGCACCATTCCATCCCATCTGTGCTGGCCAGGACAGCAAACACCAGCACCATTCCCATTCCCCCTGTGCTGGCCAGGACAGCAAACACCAGCACCATTCCATCCCATCTGTGCTGGACAGGACAGCAAACACCAGCACCATTCCATCCCATCTGTGCTGGCCAGGACAGCAAACACCAGCACCATTCCCACCTGTGCTGGACAGGACAGCAAACACCAGCACCATTCCCATTCCCCCTGTGCTGGACAGGACAGCAAACACCAGCACCATTCCCCCTGTGCTGGACAGGACAGCAAACACCAGCACCATTCCCATCCCACCTGTGCTCATTCCAGCCCATCACACCACAGGCAGCAGCAGAGCTCTTCCTTCCCACAGACAAATGTTCCCTTGCATGGCTTGTCCTCACTCCAGACAACCTAGAAACTGAAAACTGGCACGAGGCTCTGAACCTTTTGCAGAAATGACCCTTGGCCCAGGCTCCCATGGGCCAGCTCCACACACAAAGTACTGACAGTTGTCCTAAACATCTCTGCAGGTCATTGGGTTCCTGGAAAGGGAGCTACAGGGCACTCAGCAGGTGTGTTTAATAGGAAATCACTCATTTGTGTACATACAGGCTTATACAAATTTTTTATTTTCCTTGTGTTTCAGATAAAGGAAGTATTTTGCACCCTCACATGCAGCCTCCTGCCTCTCCTCAGAGGGACAGCATGGCAATTCCTGGGTGCCCAGAGACAAACTGCTCTGCAGAGACATCCTGACCCTTGGCACAGCTACACACATCCCTCCATCCAGGCTCCGAAAACTCTCACAACACACAGCCATGCTTCAATTAATTAGAAATGCAAACCAATGATTTGCATCCTAACCAGAGCTGGGCAGACAAGTCAAGCAGCCAAGGTCTGACCCACATGATGGCACATGCACAGAGCCAGCAGGGCACAGGGGAGGACTGCAGGCACCAGGACAGACCAGAGCCTACAGACAGCATCAGCCAGACAAGGCCTGGAGCTCCAGGCTCCCTATCAGCACACGGTGAGGAACTCGAGGGGAAAGGAACTAAGCTTTTAATGTCAGTTCTTAATTAGATACTTTCCTCCTTCCTTCCCTGTGAGTGACAGGCATCACACAGTGACTGGAGTAATCCACACCAGGAAAGGGGAAATGGCAGCTCTTCCAGGACTCTTCCCCTGACAACAGCACCTCCACCTCCACATCTCAGCTCCAACACTGCAGAATCCTCCCCGTGTTGCAAGCTCTGATCTTGCTCACACTTTTCTGCTTAAAAAGCAGAAACAGCCAGTCCTGTGCATTACCCAGGTGATGAATCTGCTTCAACACAACCTTGCAGTTCACATTGCTAAATATGGCAGTGAAGACATTTTAAAATGAAGCAACACAGTAATTGTGGTAATAAC